GCAACTTAATCCCCACCTTATGGCCTCATTTCCAGCCTCCAAGTCCCAAACCCTAATCCACGAAACCCTAGAGAATTTTGTGAGTGTGTGAGCCATTTGTAAGCAATCTTGTGTGTTCTTGAAGCTTAAAGTAGAAGAAGGAGTTAGAAGGCTCAAGAGGAAGAGAGTAGATCCAGAAACTACACTTCTTTGGCTACATTTTCTGGTAATCAAGTTTCTATCTTGACCTCTAGTTCATTTGATCTCTTCCTTCCTCTTTTATGAAGGTTTTGGCCCAAGAATGATAACCTTTGGAGAATGGACGACCCAAGTGGGTAATCTTCTAGATCTAAGACCTTGAAGGGCTGGTATGGCATAAAGGTGCAAACTTTATGCCATTAGAGCACCCATGCAAGCCATAGAGTGTCATCTTGGCCTTTTTAGCCCAAAAAGGCCATGCATGAAGAGAAAGATGGGAGCTTTACGTGTCCAACTAGTGTTAGGGGTTTAGATCTGTGGTTGTAAGTCTTAGTTCGGTGTATGGATGGCTTAAGGGCCAAGTTTTAGGTCCCACGGAGTTAGGGTTTGAGCTAAACCCATTAAGAAGAGGTATTAACGGGTAAAGTTGGAAACTTTACCCTTAAAATGACATTTTCGGGGTTTTTGTGAAGTATGAAGCTTGGATCTGAGTTGTAGGGGCTTAATCCATCAAGATAGCCCAAACAGACAAGGGAACCTGACGAGTCCAGAGGGGGGACTCAACGAGTTGAGTCGATTTGTCCCGATTCCGTACCAGGTGGAATTCGACGAGTCTGTGAAGGGACTCGACGAGTTGACTCGGTATCACGAGTCTGAATAGCTTAGGAACTCGACGAGTTAGGAGGTAACTCGACGAGTTGATTCAACTGGAAGTTGACATTGACTTTGACTTTGACCAGAGCATTGACTTTGACCAGGGGTAAAATGGTCATTTTACCTTATAAGGATTTTCAGTTTTTGACTAAGTGTTCCTTGTGAATTTATAGTCGCGGGGTCGTTGGAGCAGCCATCGGAGATTCCTCACTTGAGATATCAGCAGCCAACTTGAGAGGTGAGTCCTCTTCTAGTAGGAACGAGTCTAAGGCACCAAGGCCGGTCCGTTTATGTATGTTAGCGTATGCCGGACTTAGGTCTGATGTCGGGGTTAGCCCGATGTAGTTTATATGTTTATGTGTTCCAGACTTCGGTCCGATGCCGGGCGGGGCCCGATGAAGGTCTCTATGCTTGATGTCTTTTGATTCTTGCATGTATTGTTATATGTTCCAGATTTCAGTCCAATGCCGGGGCAATCCTGAGGAATGTTTAGTTATATGCTATGTGTTATATGTTCCGGATCTCGTTCCGATGCCGGGGCAAGCCCGAGGAAGGTTTAGTTAATATTTTTATGTTATGTGTTATATTACATGTTTGTTGATATGTTATATGTATACCGGACTGCGGTCCGATGCTAGGCGAGGCCTGATGCCGGGCGGGGCCCGATGCCGGACTTTGGTCCGATGCAGAGCGGGGCCCGATGTCGGATTCTTCCAATGCCGGGCGGGGCCCGATGTAGTGGGCAAGAATGTATGCTATTATGTGTATGATATGTGGTAGTTTGGGGAGACTCACTAAGCTTCGTGTTTATAGTTTTCAGTTTTGGTTTCAGGTACTTCCGGTAGCAAGGGGAAGAGCTCGGGATGATTGCATGGCACACACCACAGTTTCAGCCTGGGATATTTTAGACTCTGATATTTTAATATATGGTCTTGATACAGTATTATGATATGATGTTTGAGATACACGATTTGGATTTTATTATGTTGTTTTATGAATTATGGGTTTTCTTAAATGGTTTAAAACGAAATTTTTGGACTATAATTTTGGGATGTTTCAGTTACTTATTTTTTAAGTTAAATTAGCCAATGTTTTAATACATCTAATAAATTACAAATTAGGAGTGATTTGATTACAACAATTTAAGAGTCATCATTGTTTGATGCATTTTATGCATCTTTCTACACACAGTTTGTCTCATTGATGCATTAAAGTTAGTTGTAGAGCATCTGCATGTTACTCTAACTATGAGATAATATATGTTTTTTTGGGTAAACAGCCTTATTTTCACATGTGTATTGTGATTTCATGTGGTTTGGGGATTAAAACACACTAAGGGAGGTTGAAAGGAAGCTCGAGTAAAAATTTCAGAGCATTCGAACGAGAAACAAGTAAGTTGGAAAAATCAAGTTAACAAATTGACCTCCAGACACAATCTATGTGGAAGATTTACTTTTGGAAATCATACAGGCTGTGTGCATGAAGATGGACTATGGATTTGAAGGCTTCACACGGTCTATGTGGATTTGTACTGAAATCACACAGGTCGTGTGATGTGAAAACGTCAAGGTTCTAAAAAGCTCGTCATGGCGTGCCATGACTTCAAGGCTTATACTTGCCGCCAAACTTTAATAAAATGTCGCCTTAAGTAATATATGTATATAAAAATGAATAATAGTGGAATATATAATATATATATATATATATATATATATATATTAATTATATACAAAATTGTCGCTTTAAGTCACGACTTACAAACGACGTGCCTTGCCACGACTCGAAAAAGCTCGAGGTTTGACATTGCCGCCAAGTCATGCCTAACATTATTTAGAACCTTGGAAAACATGAAGTTTTTGACAATCAACTTTGGAAGACTTCCCGATTAAGGCAATGCACTTTACCTTGAAACGATATGTATGGAATTATACGGAATCCACATGGATCGTGTCTCGCATATAAATGGTTTTTTGGTAGTTTTTCCTTTTACCCTTATTGTGGGATTATGACCATTTCTAACTAACACACGCTGCGAGAGAAGACCATAAGATCTCAGACTTTGAAGATTTTTGTAGGATTTTCATCTTAACTATTTAAAAACATTAAATTGTCGGGTTTGTAAGTCGTATTCACGTACTATTTCACATTTCTAGACTTGGTTGTTTGTTTTAGCCATGTGTGGCTAAATACCTAACTTTCCAATTCTATTTTTTGAATGTGGTGTGTGATTCAATTAATATTATTTGATGTTTGAAATTCTATCTAGTGATTTTGGTTTTGAGTAAATTAAATATTTGATTCTTAATAATTCTTGTTGTCCACTTGAATTAAAGTTGGATCATTCCAGTTATTTGATTTATGGAATCCGTAATTGTTTAGTGAATTAAAACTAGTAACAAGCATAAAATTAATTTTCAAAGAATTGTTTTTTATGTAAACTAAAGTCACACATTCTTAAGTTTCTAAGCTTGTGATAAGTATTGGATGTTGTCGGGAACATTCACATAAAGCTTAATGCAACATTTTGATTTTTCTCTAAGAGTTTGTTAATATGAGAATTAAATGTGAGATTTATATCAAAGTGCTTGTTTTGAATTATACAATTTGGTGAATGGAAAACATTAGAACTTGTTGATGCTTTCGAATACCAATTGATATATAGTTAAGTTAATGTCACTGTTGAATTGCAATACCAATCTAGTCAAACATAGAATGAGAGTTCTAAATTCTCTTTTAGTACTCTTTCATTTTAGTCTTTTACAAATCATTTTGCAAAACAAAGCCCCTTTTTAATTCATCGGATCATGTCTTGTGCAAAGAATCATATTATTAGCATGTGTCTATGTGGATCGATCATGTTTACCTTATAATTGTACAGTGTCCCTTTGAGTCTGGTTACATAGAATGCGGGTATTATGTTCTTAAGTTCATGAAAGTGTTGTTGATGAAGGACTTGAAGTGTTGAATAACAATATAAGTAAATCTATTAGTTACTTGATGGACTTGAAATGTTGTAGAATATTTACATATATAATTATTTAATAGTTTTTTGCTAATATATTAGTTTTTGTCTAAGTTTTAAGGGAAGAATGAATATACAAACGTCGAGCTTGATAGGGTGCGTGAAGAATGAACTACTTATGTCATAAATTTTATTTACTAGGGATATGAATTTGATATATATATATATATATATATATATATATATATATATATATATATATATATATATATATATATATATAACCATGACATACAAAGTATGCCATAAAAATATGTCAAAAATCATATTGTACAAAACATATGTCGTAATTTGAAGTCGTAAATGTCTGTCATAATTACAAAAATGTTACGAATTATCACATACAAAATGAGTCGTAAGTGTATGTCGAAAACGCATGTCGTGTATGTATGTCTTAATTGTTGGTCATCAAAGTTTGTCGTAAATTTTATAAAAAACCAAATGTCTGTCATTTTCCTTTATGACATGGCTTTAAATCACAAATATTTGTTTGTCATGTATATACATGATAGTATAGACATTTATGATAGGCTGTCAAAGAAAACCTTTTTTTTTTCTAGTAATGTACATTTGTGGCCCCTCTTATTTGTTTGGTTGACACCCAACAATCATTCAAAGACAAACATAAAACATCACATATACTTATATACGTACATACCGTCTACCATTTTTTTTATCATTTCCTAAAAGATTTTAATAATGGGAGATACATGTACATTCAAATAAACGTTTTCTTCATCTCAATATCCTTTTAAAAATCATTGAAAACTTTAAATTAAAAAGTAAGAATGTCCAAATAGAAAGCGACAATTTAATTATCGTTTGAAAAATGAGAAATAAAAGAACGCTTACTTCAAGATACATGGTTCTTATTGTAGATGCTTAAAACATCGTCTTCCTAGCTATCGGTTGCAACCTATAATTGATTTTATTTTCTTATTATTATTATTATTATTATTATTATTATTATTATTATTATTATTTTCCACACAGGATTAATGTGGCAACAGATTGTCACAACCTAATCCAATAGACCAATAAACATGCATGGTTTAAGATACATATATGTTCAAATAAACATTTTCGTCGTACCTTTATATTATCTTAAGAAACCATAGGAAATTTTAAAAAGCAAGAATGTGCAATTAGAATGTATCACTTTAGTTATGGGTTTAAAATGATAAATAAATCCCTTTACTCAAAAATTCTACACAACACCATCATGCCAAATCAAACATCACAAGCATAGCTTCCAATATGTATTTTCCCACATCCATAACAAAAATGATTCCCACATCTGCAACAAGAGAGATCAGTCAGTAACCTGAAAAATATTATTCAAAATCACAACCGAAAGCAAAAGCCATAATATTAACCTGCAAGAAATGCGATGACAACCTTCTTGTTTTTCAACAATAATATTGCAGCTTGGGCACCTTCTCCATTCTTTGCTCTTGGCAAGCTGCATCAACATTATATCCTCTGGATTTCTCTCATCTTCATTTAGGCTTTGAAACTCAGTACAATCCATCTCTGAATGCCATGCCACCTTACACTGCGCACAAAACAATCTGTGGCAGTTTGGGCATTCTGACGATGTCACAGACTCTCCACCATCATCCACCAACATGACTGAACAATCTTTAAACGGGCAGTAGAATTTCTCAGAACCCAGGATCAAAGACTCGCACAAAGCTTCCTCCCACCTTTCAAGTACTTCTTTTGGGACTATGGCTCGACAATGTTCAGGGCCAATTACCTCTTTGCATTTTGGGTCCGGACACTTCACATTCGTGATGTTCTCTTTAATCTTCGCAGATACGTGTCCGGATATACAGTCAGAACAGTACAGATGGCCGCAAACTGTTGCGTTTGAAAACATTTCTGATGAGGACTTTGTGTCCATGCAAATGTCACAGAAGAAGCTCTCGGATGATTGGGATGCATCAGATGTCACCACTGGCTCCTTCATCTTTAATGCATGTGTAGGTGTGGACGTTGCTGGAATTGATGATGCTGCTGATGATGATGAATCCTTTAAGGATGACGACGACGATGATGTTGATGATGCATCATTTTGAGATGCTGACGATGGCGTTGATGATGTATCATTTTGGGATGATGATGATGATATTGATGATGCATCGTTTTCGGATGATGATGATGCATCCTGTTGGGATGAAGAGGATGATATTGATGCTTCTGAATATATGAGCGCCTCTTGAAGTTGCAGTTCTTCGGCGTATTTTTCAGAGTTAAGATAGCTCTCATCTTTGTCATGGAGAGTTGACACGCCGACAACACTACTGCTAGCCATGTTCTTAAGACTGACGCGTTTCTGTCTGTGCTGTAAAGTTTTAATCAAACAAATAATTTAATGGAAATTGAACGAGAAATAACATATATATATATATATATATATATATAATATATATATATATATATATATATATATATATATATACACGCGCGCGTAAAGAAACATCAAGGTTTTTGTTGTTTGGTGCTTGTTATACTGAAAGGTTTCCTTTAGACTTAAAGGTGTGGGCAAAGCCCACTTACGTCTATATGGCTGCCGCATCATCATCTTCTCTCCTAACATCTCCATAAGGATGGTGTTCAATTTTTGAAACCTCATTGAGGAAGAAGAGGAAGCAGAAAAACAGAGGAAGGAAGAAGAAAAACGGGCGTTGAGGGATGTTATCGTGGCAACGAGAAACCAGGGGCGGTGTTGGTGGCGTTATGCTGGCGTTGAGGTGCCTCCACCTCAGCCAAACGGCTTTGGCCGTTGCCCACACCGATAGCTCTTATACGTATTCCAAAAAATACATTTTATTAGAGAAACAATCTAAATCTTGGATGGGAACTTAAAGGACTAGTTAACACCAAAAAGAAAGACATGAATTGAATAGCACCTCACCGCTAAAACCCTGATAGAAGTCGCCTCTTTCAAGAAAAGTTTATTGTTTCTTTGTGAGCCAAATGGAGAGTTTTTAGAATTTATTTGCAAAAAGGGGTGGTGTACCATGTGCCTACAAAATGAATTAGTAACGATTGTATATTCCTTACAACTATAACCCTTAAATTTATATGATTATATTATAGTTACATCCTTTTACATTTCATTATTCTACTTTAAATTTTTAATATATATATATATATATATATATATATATATATATATATATATATATATATATATTATATATATATATCATTAAAATTATATTAAATGCACAAACGTGTCCCACAAGAATCTCAAAATAAGAATATATAGTTAGGTACAGTGGCGGAGCCAATGCATTATTAGTGGGGTGCATGGACCCCACTTAAATGTGGGTCCCACCAGTTATATACATAAAAAAAATAGAAAATTTTCAAGTGCATGGTCCCCACTGAAAATTCAGCTGCATCCACTTACCTCCACTTACCTCCCATTTGAATACTCAAAAGCTTAGCAGCTTATTTTGTTGTTTAATATTCACCAATATTATCTCTCTTCTTTCATCTTCCTTAAATATAGTCGCTCATTTACCATGCTTCTACTTCCGTTGCCAAAGATTGGATGGAATTAGATTGGTCAACAGACTGGGTCAACAGTCAACAGTCAATAGACCGGTCAACGGTCAACAGGGCACCCCACTTGGGTTCTAGGCTGGATCCGCCACTGGTTAGGTATCATTTGGTTCTTACAATCATAATGATAACCTATAAAAATTGAGGAAAAAAATCGCATTCAATCAGATTTGTGCAAAATGTTTTTCTTTTTTAGAACAACAACATCATATATTAAAAAACCGAACCTCTAGCAAGGAGCTAGAGAAAAATACAAATTAAGGCCAACTTGGATTTTGTAACCACATCATCCAATTAACCATAGCCTTAGAATTCCGAAAAGGAAACCAACGAAAAGAAAGATCCACAAGAGAATCAAAAATTCTATCTTTTTAAGGTTTATTGTTACTAAAAAGTAAAGAATTATGAAACGTCCAAAGCACCCATATGACCACCATAAACACCGACTCTACAGTCGAGCGCTCCATATGAACCATCGGTCTAGAATCCACCCAATCCACCACATCACGGATAGAAGAAAAAGCAGGAAGGTCCAAGTGAAGCCAATGCCCAACCCGACTCCAAACCTGATCGGCAACCGAACACTGCAACACAAATGATTCACACTTTCATGAGAATTATGACACACATGACACAATAAGGAATCTATCACCACCCCCGTTTCCACTAATTTAGCTCTAACCGGAATGCGATCCAAAAGCACACACCATAAAAAATATTAATTTTAATAGGGACAAAACGGTTCCAGCTAGTAGGCGTACTACCCATAGGAAACATCATATCATCAACCCATCCGGCACCTCCCCTATATAAATAGGATTTAAAATCTCCATAAGATCATCAAATTGGGTCAATTCAGCCCCTCCTCTAATCCCCCGACGCCAATGGAAATTCCAACCCCCCGAAGCCCAATAATCACTAACCCGAGCATCTTGATTAAGGGCCAAGGCAAAGAGTCTCCCAAATCGCTCCCTAAGAGGAATATCTGAGCACCAAACATCCTTCCAGAACCTCGTTTGAGCCCCATCCCCCACTACTGTATGCATGAAATTAGAAGGAATACAACCATTCTCGTGAAGATGATTAATGGATCCTACAATCTTTTCCCTTCACTTCCTATTCTCGAGTCACCCAAGAAACCACCACCTTCCCCATGGCAAAATTTGACAATTTTAACCCAAAGAGCTCCCTTGTCATTAAAAAACCGCCACTTCCATTTATAAAGAAGGCCTAGGTTAAAAGCATCCAAATTACCAACCCCAAGACCTCCTTGAGCATATGAGTTCAAAATCAAATTCCAATTAACCCAATGAATACGATTTTGACTTTCATCAACACCCTAAAAAACCGAGCCCTCAGGGCCTCTAGAGAGTGACAAACAATGGCAGGAAGACGAAACAGAGAGAAAAAGTAAACACCCAAACTCCCTAGAACCGATTTAATAAGGGTTAGACTACCTCCAATGGACAACAACTTGACCTTCCAAGAAGATAACCTCTTCTTAAAACGGTCGATGATAATCTGCCAACCTTTAAGTCGAACCATAGATTTTCCAACCAGGATACCAAGATAAACAAAGGGAAGAGTTCCAGCCGAACACCCGGTAAAAGAGGCTAAGCTAGCAATCTCCACCGGGTTAACCCCTACCCCATAAAGATTTGATTTAGTAAGATTGAGATTAAGGCCCGACACCAAATAAAAACGCCTCAGAATACGAATCAAATTTTGAATATCAAAGGCATCCCACTCCCCTAGGAAAATCGCATCATCTACATAAAACAAATGAGATATGAGGACCTCATCAGAACCCATCGGGGCACCCTGGAACACCCCTTCAACAACCGCATCCTCTAAGGCAATATGAAGCCCTTCTATAGCTATAATGAATAAAAAAGGAGAAAGGAGGTCTCCTTGTCTGAGACCTCTGAAAAGTTGAAACTCATCAGTAAGGCTCCCATTAATCAACACCGAAGATCTAGCATTAGAGCACATGCCACGAATCCAGACTTTCCATTTCTCACCAAAACCGAGAAACCCCATGACCTTATCTAAATACTCACAGCTCACAGAATCATAAGCTTTTTCAAAATCCACTTTAAACATCATAAGCTTTTTCTTTTTCTTTTTAAACCACTTCACCAGCTCATTAACCATCAACGGACCATCAAGAATTTGGCGGGACTTAAGATTTGTGCAAGTTGTTGAGTGCGAAAATAATGCTATTTGGGTCATTTTTTATTTTAATAACTATTTATGGTTAAATCTTTTAAAAACAACTATTATGATCATTTCCTTTTTATAATGTTGAATACTAGTATATTAAACTAAAAGATTTATAAAAACTTGTAAATCTTTTCTTTTATGATTTTTTGTTAAATATGACATTAGTTGTCAAAATGTTTTTAACCATAATCTTTTAGGTGGTTATTGGGTAACCAATTAACTTAACGGAAGGTGTTTTGTTATGCGATTGGTCCTTGTCTTATTTGTTTTTGTTATGGAGTAAATTACACGAATGGTCCTTATGGTTAGGGGTAATTTGTCGCTATTATTTGTTTTTGTTACGCGTTTGGTCATTGTCTTACCTAAAAAGACTATTATTTAAATAGGAAAAAATTGTGGAGTATGTAAGATAAGGTGAATGGGTGGGTTGGGGGTGTGTTTATTTAAATAAATTAAAAAATCAATGGCAAAACAGTCTTTTTAGGTAAGACAGGGACCAAGCGTGTAACAAAAACAAACAGTAGGGACCTTCCGAATTTTAAAAAATAAGTTAGGGACCAAACATGCAAATTACTCTAAACTATAGGGACCATTCATGTAATTTACTCTAAAAATTGATTAATACTTAATTGTGTATTTTATTTTGAAACCGCAAAATTTTATTAAATAACCAACAAGAAGCTAAGAAGCTAACAAATAACAAACTACTTAAAATGATAGCGCTAAAGATAGATTTTGAACCAACATAATCAATCTCGTAGTTGATTAACACATCTAAAAATATATATTGGTCGTCTATTTAATTAATATCTTTGAACAATACTCATTTAATAATGTAATATTTCTATTTTTAATAATCTTCTATTTTTCTAAAATTATGCATCGACAGGGTATGTTTGGTATGGTAGCTAAAATCAGTTTTAAATTTATAAGTTAATTTATCAAAAAGATAAGTTTATAAATTATTTATAAATTAAGGGGTGGTTGGGATTGCTTATTTAAAATAACTTATGTTTTTTTAGTAAAAGTGTTTATTAATTTGTCCGGTGTTAAAACAAAGTTTAAATAAGCAATCCAAACACTACTAGAAAAATGTGGGGTTTCTTGCAAAAATTTTCTAGGACCAGAAATTTCTCGCTACTTCCTACACATTACCGAAGATCTTCTAAGGAAAACATGTTTGTGATATTTCCTTAAAAGTTCATCGATAACAAGTAGGAAATACCGAATAATTCTTCGTCCTCAGAAGTCCTTCGGAAGTTCCTACGATTTTCCTAGGAAATAAATATATATTTAACGTTCTTAGGCAGTTCCACGGTAGGCTTTTTATTACCATTTTATTAAACAAATCATATCATTTTTTACGAATATGCCAAAGAGTGTAACATTTATGTTAGAATTGTTTCGTTTAAGTGGTTCTTAGAAAGTTTCTTAGAATTTTAGAGGGATTTCATAGGAAATTTTCAAACCAAAGTCTCTCACCAAACATGTGAAACTTTTACCAATTGTTCTAGGATCCAAATCATTAATTTGATGCATAAAAAAATTTATAAAGTTAACACATTTAGACAATTTCTAAGAAATTTCTCCAAAACACCAACGAAACAAATACATAAAATTTATTAATTATTACTATCATATTGTTATTATTATTATTATTATTATTATAAACGTTGTTATCATTATTATTATTACTATTGTTATTGTTATTATTATTGTTATTATTAACATGATTATTGTTAATATTACATATATTATTAATTATATGATATCGTTTAATTTTTTATTACGATTTCCATCTATAATATTTTATATTTTCTTATTTTTATTTTTATTAAATTCATTATTAAAAGTGATGATATAGACAATGCTTATAGAAATTGAAAATACCACCATTTTATATTATCATTGATAATATATCATTATTTTAATTATTATTATTATTATTATTATTATTAATATACATATACATACATACATTCATACTAAAAATAATCCTAATGTTAAAAATAACAAAATTTGTATCTAATATGTTGGAAATGTGCCGGCAATTCCAATGGATTTCCTAGGACCAAAATGTAGCGTCCTGAAAATCCAAGGTAAAATTTTCATTTTTAAAACAATAATTTAAATAACAAATTATTCTCAAAACCATTCAAGATAAAAATAACATTTAAACATCAGAGTAAAAATTATCAATGCGGAATAAAGTCTAGGGGATGTTGTGCAGTCACGCCGGGCCCTTCACGTTCGAATCGAAAGTACCTGAAACCATAAACATAAACCGTAAGCATAATGTTTAGTGAGTTCCCCAAAATACCACATACCATACATAGCATTGGCTCTAGCCCGCAGATTGGGCCTAATCCGTAATAATAGTCCTAGCCTGTCCTACTTATTGGGCTTAGCCCAAGATACAAATGGGCCTACCCATCATACAATGGGCTTAGCCCCAACCTATAATAATAGGCCTAACCCTCTCATGCAATTGGGCCCATCCTGACATGCATGCCCTTGGACCTAGCCCATCATACAAATGCAAGAGTCACAAATATAGCTAGCATTCTACATAACATATCCTAACGAGCCGACATTGGTGCCTTCGACCCACAGGTATAGTGAGGAGACTCACCTTAATCCAAGATAACTGAAACACACACGTATTGCTGCTACCGGGTTCCTCACACATAACACATCCACATTACCCTTAATCAATAATTAGGGTAATTTCCCGTAATTCTAGGTCCAGTTCATATCTCCTCATAACAATGGTAAAAGACTATTTTACCCCTCCTATACTTGGCCCAACAAAGCAAATCCCAAACCAAAAATGACTCAAGGCCCAAAAATGGCCCAAAAGCTATCCAGGTACGTACGCCCAGCATACCAACCCGGTACGCCCAACGTACGACGCTGAAGCCCAAAATCATCTCCAGATCTCTTAATGCCTTAAGACAACATGCATAAGTTCAAGATCTGATTCTTATGGTACGTCCTAAGTAATAAAGTCCTAAGTCATAAAGTTCCCGACTTTATGACTTTGCATGGCTTAATGGTGCCCAAACCAAAAGAAATATAAGGACCAAGATCACATTTTTATGGTTCCTAATAACTCCATAATGGATAAAGTTTCCAACTTTATCCATTATAATGGTCCGAACAACCAAGATCTGGACTTTATGCACTAAAGTGATCAAAAGCTCATAACACCCAAGAGTAGCTAGATCTATCAAATGCATCATCAAGATTTAAGCTTTTTACCTCCAAAAGAAAGATCAAGGTGAACAAAGTCTAGATCTACAAGCTCCAAGACAACCGACACTTCTCCAATGAATTCTTCTTCTCCCAAAGGCACCAAAATCCACTAAAAACCACTCAAAGGATCGATATACTTCCAAATGGGGCTAGGATTTTGAATTTATGGTTATAGGGGATGGAGGCTGAAGATAAAGAGGGTTGGAAATGAGTCAAGGTCTTTAAATAGGGTCCAAGACCCAAAATTAGGGTTTGCATCTAACCTGCATACGCCCAACATACTCTAGGTACGACCAACGTACTAGGTTGGTCACCGTGATCATTCCTGCTTAGTACAGCCATCGTACGCCGTGTACGCCCAACGTGCTCAGCTTACCCTAAAATCCTCGTAACTTCTAAGTGTCATAACTTCTTCGTTCCAACTCCGTTTTCGACGATCCTTATATCCACGGAAAGGTATTGAGGAGATATAAAACCCTATCTAATTACTTTTGACTTAAAATACATCGAACTAAAAACCTTAATTCATAAAAGAAGTCTAAAACACCACTTTTCCCATTTTACCCTT